CGTTTCTTACTGTCATAGAACTCGCGTAATCGCCCCCAGCCATATCCTTTGGTATTCCTCGCACGAACACTCAAACCTTTCAATACAATTCACGTTCTATTCTTGTAAACTCTATTTCTTCTATATCTATATATATATATATATATATATATATATATATGTATTTATGTATGTATTTGCTAAGTGTAAGAGATTCTACTTTACTTGTGGTACATCTACTTATACCGGGTGAAATATATAAAACAAACTATCAAAAATGTATCAATTCTTCTAATATTACAACACATTACTTAAAACATATATATATATATATATGTGTAAAGATTTTAAATTTTACCATTAATACTTTTTTTCATATTAATATTTCCCTGTTTTTTTCCTTTACAATTTAAATAATAAGTTTCTACAAAAACCTTTCACTTCTCGTTTAGTTAAAACATTTTTTAGTATCCTTTAAAAAAGAGTTTAAACTTAGAAAAAATCATTATAACGTGATATTATATAATAATTCGTGTATAATAATATAATAATATTTATTATTATTAAGTTATTTCAGTTATTTTTTAGTTATGTCATATGTAAGTCTGAAGGAAAAATAAACAAACGTGAAATAATTGAATTGTAATACTGTACCATCTATTGAGAACTTACAGTACATAAAGATCTAAAGATAACCTCTAAATTAGCAATAAAAACTAAAAATAATCACGATAAAAATTATCCTGTATCCTAAAGTTGAAAGAAATCAGACAAAATTTTAGTAAATTCGAAGTTCATTGGAAAACCAACAATGTGACATTAAATTTTTATATAAAAATATAATAATCGAGTTGTTTAAGTACTGTGGTAGCCTGTTTTAATATCTCACCCGGTATGCATTTATATATACGTGTGTTTGTGCACGCGTATTGGCAAGAAACGTTTGTACTGGAGCGTGCAATACATATCAGCGTGATAGTTGTTGCTGGTAGGACGAAAGAGGATGAGACTTTCTTTCTCTGTTGTAAAGAAGAAGAAGAAGAAGAAGAAGAAGCAGAAGAAGGTACCGCTAGTGACCTGTGACCTCTCAAGCCAAGCGAACGAGAAGGCCTCTTTTCCTTCATGGGCACCGGTAATTTTACCTTCGATCCTGGCTTCCTGGTGCTACCCAGATCTAGATCATCAACGAAAATCCCAAAGACGAATGCGCCTGCTGCTCCTTTCTCAAACTTTAGATTTACCAATTGGATTACACTCACCCTTCTATCCTATCTTCTTGTAATTCGTTAATGAGAACAACGTGTTTGGAAGACACACTTGTTTTGTAGACTGCTACTTTCTGCTACACCTGAAACAAAATATTGAAAACAATTAGAATTTGTTCTATTTTTATTGAAGGTAAACAAATTTTGTTGTTTGATGTAATTGCTTTGTTGAAATGTAAAATAACATTAACAGTTTGATTGATTGTCATAATTATAATATTATAAGTTCAATTATTTGTGTTATTAACAAACAAAGGACTATATTTTATATTAATATAAATAATATTATAATATAATTTATAATAATTAATAGTATATTAATATATATTTATAATATTATAATATTATTGTATATTAACAAACAAAGGACTATACTATAGTTATATAATATATAATTATATATAGATATACTATATAACTAATATACAGCTAATATATTAATATAATAATATAATATATAATATAAATTTGTTTATAAGAATATTATAAATTATAATATTTATAATTATATATTTATAAGGGGATATTATAGTATATATATATATACTATATAGTATATTGTAATTATATACTACATCTAGTTATAAAAAAGTAATAAAAACAATTGTAAATGTAATTAATTTCATTGAATTTCTCTTGAATCTTTCATAATTCGTAATTTAAAAGAAACAACGTGACCCTGAATTCTTGTAAGATTATCAAGTACATTAACGAGTAAAAACTTAAGCATTATCTACAAGGATACCTTCTTCTTACGATTGCACATTCTCTCTCACGACGTAGGAATATCCTTCAGAAAGATAAAGAAAAACATAAACATGAGACAAAAATAATATCTCATAGTATAAAAACTATCATTCGAAACAATCGTCATCGTTATAAATCACGAATATACAGACACGGACAAACAGTTACATAGTATAATTATAATAAAATATGCAACAATGATTTTAAATTATGTTGAATATTTCTCAGAGATTAATTAAATCGGATGCAGATATATCTATAAACGATATATATTTATTAAAACAGTTACTTTAAGAATAATTCATTAATATTATTTAAGTGTTTCAAGTTAAAAACAAAATAAAAATACAACAATCAACTTTTATATTATATAACAACAATTTTACAATTACAAATTAAAATTGGCATAATTAATATTATAAAAATTGCAGTATAAAAAAAAAGTCTAATTTCTTTTTAACAAATCTAACTCTTATTAAGATTTCATATTTATAATTGAAATAAATAAAAGAGAAAAGAAATATGGAGAAAGAAGTTAATTAAATTAAATTTAGGATTATAACGTTGACAATGTTTCATTTCTTGCAGTGTAATGTAATTATTTTATTATTCCTGTGCAGTAATGACTACGAGGCTCAAATTATCTTGGTACTGTAAAAAAAGTGTATTAGGACAATTCAATAATTGTTAATTAATCGAAAGGAATGTGTATCGTTGTTTAAAAACACCAAGTATATGATCGGAGTACCGTCCTATTCGAAATTCACCTTCACACTGATAGGTTGTCATCTATCAATATTCTTACATTCAATGTTGTTTATACGACTTTCCGAACATTGCGCATGTGTGTAACAGTAATAAATTACCTAATTAATAGAATTTAAGATTAAAACCGTCAAAATTTTGCATTTTTTGCATTCTAACCAATTTTTTTGTATCGCTCCCGCTCAGTAATGACTACGGGAGTCAAATTATTCTCTACTGTAAAAAAAGTGTATTAGTTTAATTACAAAATAAATCTATCACAATTAGTATTCTAAATCGCAGTATAAAAAGTGTAGTTTCTTTTACGAATCTAACTTATAAAAACTTAATATTTATTATTGAAATAAATAAAACAGAAAAGGAAAGTATTAGGTATATATATATATATATATATATATATATATATATATATATGGTGGAAAGATAGGTTGGTATTAATCGTTAATCGCCAATTACGCATGGTTGAGTCCCAGTTCCAAAACTCTCAGAAGCATTTTAACGAGCCGCTTCTCTGTGTCGCCCAGCAAAAGGAATTTAACTTGGTCTCATCCTTCGAGTAGCTTCCAACCATGGGGAAGTCCCCCCCCCCTCTGACCATGAGCACCCACAACGGTGTTTCTTCGCGATATCCTTCTTCTCTCATTCTATCTCTTTTTCTCTCATTCATTCCTTTTCCTTCCTTTCTTTATTTCCATCTTTCTTTCTCTTTCTCATTCTTTATATGTTTCTCGTTTCTCCAACTATAGTCGTCCACATCCTCCTTTTCACCATGTCCAATATAAAGGACCTCTGTGTGTATGTGTGTGTGTTGCTGCACCCCGTACCAATTAGCGCATACTTCGGCTGTTGGTGTTCGGGACCCAGCATGGTCCCGACAGAAGGTGCTCCTCTCTCAGGACCCAACTACGAGAACGACGGTCCGTTTTCAAGGTGACTTTTCCTTCGCATATTTAACCCTTCACGAACGTTAAACCTCACAGTGCCGGATATCAACTTTTTCGAACCCCTGATCAGTTTTGTTTAACCCCCCTCAGACCCGAATTTTTGTCAAGAGACAATTATATTCATACTAAAATTAACATTCATGTTCCTTGACAAGGAACGTTTTAATTATTTTACATGAATTTTGTAATTATAATGCATTATTGTACCAATTACCTAGTTGAACTTTTATTCTTTGTATAAAATAGTCGCCATTTTTTATACGGCTCTACTTTATACAATTCTTTTTTTTTTTTTTACAGAGTATGATCTACTTATTACCATGAGAGGTTAACATAATTTATAAGATTAAAATATTCAAACGCAGGTGTGTTCGCGATTGTTTTTTTTTCTTTTTTACATTTACAAGAAAAGAATTGTTTAATAAAAAAAAACAAAAACAATACGCAGTAGTTTATAAACTTTTCCTCCTGTAAATCAGATTCTTCGATATACTTTCGTATCTCTATGAAATATATATATATATATATGTGTGTAATACTAACACATTTATTCATCTTTCTTTTTCCTTGCTTCAAAACATTGACCTTGTTTATCCGCTCGTAAGAATATTTTAATTATGCGAATAACATGTCTACTCATTAAATCACTCGTTACCATATTTGCATATGGCGTTGAAGTATTTTTATTGGAAATGCAATTGCAATGTCGAACGCCGACCAATAAGAAAAAACTTTAGTATTCTATACGCGTTTATAATTGGTCGATAATAACCAATAATATGAACCAATAATATTTTAAAATAAAATAATTGGTTAAAGTATTTGAATATTGTATTTTAACGTAACATAACCTTTAATTAGATGCATTTTCAATTGATGTTAAATGTTCATATTAAATATAACGGTAAATTTAATATGATAGAAAGAAAAAGAATGAGAAAATTCTTCAGACATAATGATTAATTTCTTAAACAGAAAACACTACGACGAAATGAAACGCCTATCTTACAGGGGTCCCAATATAACGGTTTATGGCATCGTGTTTCGCGCCATAAGTTTTTAAGTATACAGTCAATGTTAAAGCTACGTAATAATCTACGACTAAATAACATATATCTAAAATTCGAGGAATACTATTATGTAATTTCTTACATCTATTATTTGTAGAGAAAATAAAAAACAGACAAAAAAAAAAGTCCTGACAAATCGTTTTATTATATAATATTCTCAACTCTTTCATTAAATGTGTTTATTTTTTTCTTTTTTTTTTTTTTTTTAAAGGGATAATATAAATGTTTCACAGAGTCCAACAAAAACATCATAATTCGTTTGTTAATGTCACTATTAACCCAAAACTCTTTTTCAACTCGCACAAATCCTGACAAAAATTGTCCGCACTTTTTATTATCCAAACTAAAAGATAAATTAGGTTAGTTTCATTTAAAATTATGTCGTGTTTCGGTAGTCAAGAAAAACAAATTTATCTTGTCGAAGTATTGATCGATAAAGTACAATTGACATTAGATAAAATTAAAGAAATTGGTGAACAATCTGTCACGATTAAAGTCAAACTACTTGATTTGCCAATATTTGAAATCACACGTGAGGATTTTGAATCAATCAAAATTCCTCCTATAAGAGAAAATGGGATTATTAAATTTTCCATTGGTAGAAGTTGTTTATTTATCAGAAGACCTAAAGAACTCGTTGAAGAATTACGAACTGCCAATGTTGCAATCGGTGTATTTTGTATTGGTGACACTTATCCTTTGGCAGAAACCACCGTAAAATTGTCTGGTTGTTTATGCGACCAAGTATCAATGTCAACTAACGATCCTGAAAATATGCCTAAACCATTCTCGATAAACGGTGGTTTTCATTTACAAGATCCTGGTGAAAATCCATCGGGAATGTTGGATATGAATTTGAAAATCACTTGTTTAGGACGATTCATAACTACGAAATATGAACTAAGACCTAACTTTTTTGTTTTTAAAAAACAAGACGATATGAGAGAATTTTGCGTAGAACGAAACATACCACCACACGTTTGTGAAAATTTAATCAAAGCTAATTATCCTTTACCTGAATCTATACATGAAAAATTAATCTCCAAACCTGAGGTCAAAGTTTCCGATCAGCAAAAGAAAAAGAAAAAGGGAAGTAAAAAAAGAAAGAAAAGAAAATGATTGAAGCGTTAAAATTAAAATAAAGGAATTTGTGCAAAAAAAAAATGGAATCTAATTAAATAAATAAATAAATAAATAACGCAATTGAAATTAAAAATTAAAATATGTAATATATATATGTAATACTATAATTTAATTATATATATATAATATATAACAAGTATTTAATCTATAAAATAAAATAAATGTTACCATGACAACCAAACGTCTTTCAATAAATTTCATTTAATTATAATTGATCATACTAAATTAAATGGCGTATGTGTTGAAAAAAACAAAAATAAAACAAATTAAATAAAATCCGTCGCAATTTAAAAATGTTATCCTAAATTCTTGTTCAATTACAAATTTTTCGTATCCAAATTATTCGATGAACGATAAATTGACATCAATATCATCATCATCGGTAGGATTATCGATAAACGATCCAATTTTCAAAGATTTAACGTCAGCTGAGAAATTGAACAATCGTGAGTACCGTGATTTGATTTATCAAACTTATCCAAACGAATCAACTTGCAATTGTCAACCAATAAATCAAACGTTTATTCATCATCCTTTGATATGTCGATCTGGTTGTCAGAATTTTTGTTGTATGAAATTAAGAAATCCAAAAATATTAAGCACAGTATGTAAACAGAAAATAAATTTACCACCCAGAATTGAAGAAACAAAATGGGGATAAAAAACAATGACCGATTAAGAGGAGGAGGTGGAGGTGGAGGAAGTGGAGATGATTATTATCCTGGTACAAGTACGCCTATCGACATTGACGATAACATCGAGTTCACTTGGTACGGTAATAAAATTATCAAAGAAAATAATCGTTTGGAAGGTGGAGGATATGAATATGAATTACCAGGTTGCGTGTGTTCCGGTTCACCGAGTCTTTACAAGAAACCAGAAGAATCGTCTAAGCAAACTTCATCATGTAAATCTGGTATGGTTCATTTAAAATCAGCAAAACCTGGTTGTACTTGCGCGGGAAAAGATTTACCACCTGTTTGGAATAAAGGTGGTAAAGAGTGTGACAAAAAACCATGTACAGGAATCGATTGTTTGTTACGTGCATTCAAAGAAGCTCAAGAATTTGTTGATTCTTTGGGTAAAGTACCTGGTCTCGAAGGATTGGGTTTGATGGATCCTTCAGAAAGTCCTTTCTTTGGTAGAGATATTAGTAAGGATTATGAAACTGATGAAACACAATTAGAAAAGAGAGCAAAACTTATTGCCTCGCAAATTCCATCACCGAATCCTCAATGCACAGCACCTTGCAATCCACGTTTTGTAACGAATAGATTTGATACTAAGACAGATAATATTTCTATGGCTTATACTACACCAACCCCATTAACGATAGCTGTACCAGGTCGTACAGGAATCGTACGAGAAGCTGTACCAACGATACATGATAATGGTTCTACCATAACTTATAGTAAACCTAAAAAGAAAGAAGAGAAAAGGGAAGATAAGACTGACAAGTCTAAAGAAACCGATCCTACACCACCCGCACCATTGGAAATTGATTTGGGTCCTTGCGGTGAACCTAAATGTAAATCGAGACTTAAAAAGAATACGAGTAAAATTGAATCCGTCGATAATATTGAACATTCTACTAAAAAATCAACGACCCAGATAAAATCTGTCAATGCTATCAGTGTTACAACACCTTTGACAGGTAGTAAAGCAAGTGACAAAGGAAAACATCACAAATCGAAGGCCAATTTTGTAGGAGCATCTGGTGATAGGAATATTAAAACACCAATAAAAGTTAGCAAACGTATTATGCGTTATGTTTATTCGATCGGTGATGTTTATCCTGGTGTACATTATGGTCATAAAAATTGTATAGATGTTCGTATGAGAGTACCAGCCAATATGGGTTGGTTATGGAATACCAGTAGTACTCTTTACAATTTAAAACCACGAATTGGTTGGAAACCTGGTGCAATAGGAAAATATTTGAGCGAATTACTCACAGAAGCTAAAGCTGGATCTATCGTAGGTGAAAGTAGACCAAGATCTGTACCATCTCGTACCAGAAGAACTAAAGCTTACAGAAGTATGAGTTTTACGTCGGTAAAAAAATTACAAGCAAAGAAAGAAAACGATGAAGAAGCAGAGTTACCACCAACATTGCACATTCATAGAAAAGATGGTACATATTACGTTACGATGTATCCAATAAAACAAGAAACAATGGATGTACCAAAATTAGAAGAACCGATGAAACCTTTGCAATTTAAAATTGTTAAAAATAAAGATGACGAATCAGTGGCATCGAGTTCTACTGCGTCAGACATGGAAATTGAATTTTCACCTCCTGCTGCTGTTAACAGATATCGAAAAAAGCCTGATGTTGTCCACGTTGAAACTCAAGTTAAACAACAAGAGATACTCGATGCCCTCAAAATTACGGATACCTCGAAAAAAGATAAGAAAAATAAGAAAGAAAAAAAGAACAAAAAATGATGATCGTAATAATGTAATAACTGTCAAACATAATCATGATTTTTTTCTAATTAATTCTAACATTTGAACAAACAATATAAATGAATTAGATAAATACCTTAATTTGAAATTTACGCGATAGTTGATAATTGTCTCTCTATCTCTCTCTGCATTACCGACGGAACAATACTGTCGTCGTTTGCCAAGGCGACGCTAGCAACTGCAGAAGATCAACTGTCCTTGACAGTTGAGAAGTTTCGATTGAAATTCTGCAATAAATTGAAAGAGAGAAAATAAATAAATATGGATGAAATACACAAAAATAGAAACGAGATTGTGAGAAAAAAGATACTCGACGTTGAGGAGATAAAAATAGGAAAATATCCGATTGATTCGCCGTGGGTTAAACCAGTTAGAATTTTTTATAAACAAGACGGCAAAGAAAAAGTTTGGGATGTCGTTAAATCTCATGACAGTGTTGGTATTGTTGTTTTTAATGTAACTAGAAAAAAACTGATTTTAGTTAAACAATTTCGACCAGCCGCGTATTACGCTTGTTTACCTGACAAAATAGATCAAATTGATCTTAAAAAATATCCACCTTCGTTGGGTGTAACTCTGGAACTCTGTGCTGGTATTGTTGACAAGGACAAACCACTCGTTGAAATTGCCAGAGATGAATTGAGAGAAGAATGTGGATACGAAGCACCTGCATCTGCTTTCATGAAAATCGTTACCTACAGGTGGAAATAATAAATTATAATGTAAATATATATTTAAAAAGGAAAAAAAGAAAAGATGATTAGAGAAATTTATAATCACCAAAAATTATTCAAAAATATTAAATTATCATTGAAATTATAACAATAGCTCTCTAATATAAATGAAATAAAAGCATTTATGTTTAAATATTCTAATGTTACTATTTTATTAACAATTTGTCATTTTTTCAGAGGCGTAGGGTCTGGTGCTACCAAACAAACTCTATTTTATGTTGAGGTAACCGATGAAATGCACACGCATCCTGGTATGTTTCATTTTATTCAAATGAAATAATTAATATAAAAATGATTAAACCTACCGTTAAAAATTGACATTTTATTAATTCATGTTATAAAGGAGGTGGTGCAGAATGCGAAGATGAACTAATCGAATTGGTGGAAATGAGTATCGAAGAGGCAGAAAATTATATTACTTCAGAAGAAGTACAAAGTCCGTCCAGTTTTCTCTTTGGTATATCCTGGTTTCTACGTAATAAACGTGGACATTAATCTTTACCTTCTAAACCAATAACACACATATACATATATATATATATATATATATGTAATAGAAGGAAGAAAAAATTTATAGAACAATTTTATTTACAAATCGAGCGGATGTACACAAGCAAATAAGAAATAGTTGCATAGACAAAATACACAATGATCAATTTGTTACATCAATGTTCGTTATCGTCTTTTGTAAATTGCGAGTTGACCCAAGCGAGTCCCCATTTTAAATTAGTTAACAAAAACTTCAAGGCCTTGGTCCATTGTTCCTCCGAATTAAATTGAATTCTAAAATGAAGTGAGGATAATGATAATTAAAAATATAAAATAAAGTTCCAGTAAAGAATTTCTAAATCTTAATGGTTTGAGTCACAAGTAGAATAAAAACCCATTACATTTGATCATTGAATACTTTACTTTATTGCTAATCGCATTTATAGAAAAAAAAAAAAAAGAACATAACATTGCTTTGGGTTTTTCAATAAAATGTTTCCAAGAAACCTTGGGACTCAAATGATTATAAATAAAATTCTTATAAATAAAATGCTATTGTTATATGCTATCATATTCTGTGATGTATCTCATAAAATGTTATAATAATAAAATAAATGATGAAATATATATAAAAATAAAATGATGTATGTATATATATGTATATTACTTGATGGAGTATGAGTTTCCTGTTGCAGAATCTTCTATTTTACCACGGTCCATTCTGTATGGTAAACAAAATCCATTGTCTCCCTTTTCAACTTGTTCTTTAAATTGTTGCAGACAATCGAGAAATGCAACCATAGCTGCATCGAATTTGGTATCCCATAAAAATTTGACACCTCCGCTTCCATACAAAGGAAGTTCTCTGTGTTGATCTAATGCTTCGATGTAACTGTGATTACCAAATGGTACTAAACGAAAACGTTTAAAAGTCAAATTCATTTTTCTTGCGAGTGATGCTAATAAAAGAGTTGTTTGTCCCCATGCTGCATTGATTTCACTCCAATCAACAGGTGCACTAGGTAAACGTCCTAAACGAAATGAATTAATGGTTCCAAAATGTCCTGAATGCCAAATGTGAAATGTAGCATTGAAAACATTTGTTTTCTTCAGTCTTTCAAGTTGAGATGCTGCGTAGGCCAATTGACACTCCAAACTAATTCAAAAATCAAATATAAATATATTTATATTTCAATGAATATTTATATTTTTATTAGAAAAATTACCTTCGACATTCGTCGTCGCTTAACATAAGATCTCTTTTGTGTCTTGCGTATTCTCTCCAATATCTTAGTTCCTCACTTTCCAATCTGGCTGTTTCTTTTTCTAGTTCAGCAATAGAATTTCTCGTAGCTGTTTCTTCTTTTCTCAAAGCTTCCAATTCACTTATCATTCTTTCTTCTTCCGCTTTAGCATCTTGTAATTCTTTAATTAAATTTTCCATCTCGATATCTTCGTATCCCAATTGTTGTTGTTCGGATTCTAATTTTTTAAAATATTCATTGTAGTCTGACCATTCGCCTTCTGTCATTTTTAGTTGCTCATCTATTAACCCCAACAAACCGTCTGTACATTCATCGCAAAGTGGATGATCTACAGAACTATTACTGCTTAATATATCATACAGTGTCGCTGTTACCTTTGTAAAATATCAAATCAATAATTAGTTATACAATTAATTAATAATTGGTTAAAAGAAAATGAAAAAAATGTTTTTAAATATACTTTTAAGTTGTGACTTAAATTCTCTGATTCACCGGTATCACCAACCAGCATGAAGCCATTATTCCCATTTCCTGATTCTGTTAATCTGAATGGTTGTACTGAATGTTCCAAACTACCACTCGCAGGCTCTAATTCTGCAACGACTTGTTGCTGAAGGGGTACTAACATTAAATAAAATATTATAAATTTCTGTAATTTTCCATACAGTTCATATAGTATGCGCATAATGTTAACTATTATTTTGTATTTACAAAAAAATAAACAAAATAATAATAATAATAATACTTATAAAATAACATATAGATATTTTACTAATCATTATTATTATTACTAATCATAATGTCTTATTTTTGAATATATAAAAGAATAAGAAGAATATTTAACAAATCAATAGTTTAAAATAGAATTTACCTACGTGAGAGTTCAGCCAAAGTATGTTCTCCTAGATAGTTAAAACTGGAATCTAATCTCAATGGTTGTAAGCATCTCTGGCACGAAAAACTTACGTTACTCTTCATATCCATCATCGTATTATTTATTAATACGATGCACTATTTTATTTTATTAATCAAAACTCATTCAATTATAAACGTTATTGACAAATACTTTTTAGACGCTTGGAAGACAAACAGCTGATTAAGTTCGTTGATATTCTACCAGGAGGCGCTACTAATAACAAAACGATGATGCTGCCATCTAGCAAACATACAAACAAACAAATCATAAAATAATAAACAAATGATTAATTATATTTTAAATCTATTAAATTTATTAGAATTAAAAATATTCTTATTATTTTTTTGTTTGTTTTGTTTTTAAATGCAATTTTACAGCAAATTATTTAAATTCTTTTTGAAAATAAATATTTCTATCTTTTGACATATACGTCATGTTAAAGAGCCAATCACAATGTACATAAAGTTAAAAATCATCAATTTTATCTTTTAGATAATCTAAACTGTTACGATAAACTATATAAATACAAAATATTAATATACTATTCATAGAATTAGTGCATTGTTAATAATAAATGTGACATTATAACCTTTCAATAATAATCCTTCTAATAAAGTATATAACAATATGTAGATCTATGCAGGTTATGTGATATCTCATAACTATAGGTACCTAAATGCATTTTTAGATTATAGAAATTATTTAAAACAAATTAATACAAAAAACAAAGCTTCAAAAAAACGTATCATGATTGAACATACAGAAAATTCTGTAGTTTATAATCAAGTTTTAAGAAACATGAACACTGGAAATATATTTTACATGCCATTAACTTCTTTCGCTGGTATGTACATATATTAAAATACATATTTAATATACATATATTTTTTAATTTATATAATCTTTCAGAGATGTGGTACCAAATATTCCTATGGGCATTATTCTCTTCTATATTTGTTCACATGATAGCCGGTACAATTTGTTTCGCTACTTTACGACAACATAAATATGGAAAGTATGTAAAATTTTTAAACAGATATTGCACACAATGATATTCATAAAATTATAAAGATTTATAAATATTATTCTCTTTTACAGATTTTTCCCACTTCTTATAATTATAATGGGCATATTGCTACCATTAACATCAGGTGTATTAAGCTCCGCTGCTGTTGCATTTGTTTATCGTGCATCAAGTCATCAGATGCCACCATTATATGCATTAGTATGGGGGATTGGCCAAACAGTCGTTGCTGCTTGTGTTGGATTTACTAGAATCTTAGCAACTTTATAATATACATGTATATAAAATATAATTAGATAATAACAAAGAATATAAACAACTATAACATAATCATCGTGAACCGATGTTTTAATATGTAATTAAATATTATATAAGTACCTTTCATAAATGGATATTATTATACTTCTGATTTTTGCGTCTTTATATGTGTATTAATATTATCAGGAATCATTTTGATTAATTCCAATTGATTTTTTAATGCTTCTTGTGCTTCCATTTTTTCATTATTTTCTAAAGACGATATGCTACTTTTGACTAAATCTGTAAAATATTGTGCTCACTTAATTATTTATATTTCAACATATTGTTCTATCAAAATGTAATATTAATTAATGTATTATCATTAAAATATACAAATAAAATTGTTAATGTTATCATATGATGATATCTATTTAATTACTGTAAAATACATACCACAATAATTATTTAATAATTCTGAAGTTTCGGGTATTACGTATGAATAAAGAAAAGATAGAACCATTGAAACATGTTTTCCAGACATGTGTATAATATTTTCCGTAGCTGCTGTAAAAATTAAACTCGTAACCAAATTCAACGCCAATGCTGGATCCTGCGTTATTTTTAATTCTTTTAACAGAGCTTCTTTATGAGTAAAAATAATTTGTTTATTTATATCTTTGTTATGTTTCTTTTGTATCACAGAACAAGCCTGCAATGCAGGAGTGATAAAATTCAAGAAATCTTTGATAATGCATTTTGTAACAGCTGTGTATATGTTGTTTAATGGTACTTGAATATCTGAAGGTAGTTCGACAAGTATTTTTTTAATTGTATTAAAATCAATATTATCAGGATATTGCAATTTATTTTGTATACTAGCTAATTTAAATAATCTCGTTACAAAATCCCGACATAATGATTTCATTAAATATTCTGTTAATGAAGTACGTTGGGATTCTTGTTCAAAAAGTTTAATACTTTCATTGAAAATTTTAATATTAGTTGATAAAATAATTAAATCCTTTTTAAGTTCATCCGTATTAAATGCATCACTAGATTCAGCTAATTTTTCTGCTGCACATGACGCATATTCATTTACTTTTTGATGCAACATTAAAGCTAATTGATCGGCTAAATCATCTATTGCTGCAATTTCACGATTTTTCATAAGTTCAGTTGTAATATCTTCTAACGATACCAATTCGTGATCAACATTTTTATCCTTAATATATATATTTTCATCGTCAGAAAGATCATCATTAAATTTCTGTTGTAAATATTTTTTCTTCGTCGACTTGGTCTTCGTTTCTCTTCCTTGATTTCCACCTCCTGCTTTTCCACTCGTTGCTTTTTTACGTCGTTCCTCTTTCTTATGAGTTTTGTTATTTTTAACAATACTGTCGTCACTTTTAAACTTAATTTTATCCTCACAAACTAACTGTAACCATTTACCACTGGTTACTACCATTTGCGCTTTATTTTCAGCAACTTTATACAAAAGTTGTACAGAATTCTGTAGAAAATCATCAGAAACTAAAACTGTTTCCATGAATACTTTGACCGGACTATTATCCAATATTTTATTTAAAAATATTTCAATATCTTTTTCATTAAGAATAGAAGGCAAATAATCACGAACATCTATGAACGATTTAGTATTAATAATATCATTAGCAATGGTTTTAATTTGATCAACAATAATATCGTTGACTGCAACAGAAGCCAGAAAAATAATATCATCGTTAGGAAAATATTTTTTAATAGTATGTTTCGGATCTGATATKCCAAGTCTAACAAGTGCATCATATTCTAAAAAAGAAAAACAAAAATAACACACATTTCAAATTATACAAATTAATATTGAACAATACTTTATAAGTAAAATGTGCATACCTAAATATCCATTTTGTTTGTAGAAATCATGAATCCATTGAGTTTGATTTTTAACATAAATATGTGGTAAAAACATACCAGTTTTGACTTGATCTCCCGATATGATACCTGATATTTGTTTTTTCTGTTGCAGTTCACCCAACACGGCTAACATTAAATTACATAATATATTAATAACAAGAATTAGATATAACTGCATATAATATACGATCATACAAGTACTTACGATAAATAACAAAATCAGGAACAGAACATTCCTTAGAAATAATAGATAATGAAACAGGTTTTGTTATAGCAGATAAAGCACCTCTTATTTTAGCTTTGTTTGTTTTAATAAATCTATTAGTGTAATAAATTTGTTTGTCTTGCGTAATCTCTACATCCATTATAATCTTTCGAGTTAATGCAGTTTCTATAGTAGATCTTATAAAATCAGTTGGTAAATTATAAAACAATGTTAAATCTACTACTTTAATGTAATGATGTTGCCAAAGTTTATCGTTGATATCTTTCATCATCTGTTCCCAATATTCTTCGTTAATTAAATATCCTAAAACTACATGAATGCCAGATTCAGTTGCCTGAATTTCGTTGGCCAAAGTTGTTATCAGAGTTAAACTGACATTAAGGATTTGTGCTATGTCATTTAAATTCATTCTACCACCATGAAAACTTAACTCATCTATTATCTGCGTTTTAAGATATTGTCGTGTAACATATTCCTTTCTGTCATTTGTAAATACTACATCCAAACGCTTAGACTCAATGAGTTTTGATACTATTTCTATACAATTGTTTTCTGTTAATCTACAAACAAAATAATATCATTTGAATTAATTATTTATTTAAAAAATGATATCTACTATTCATATTTTATGTTATAACTTTGAATCAGTATCATTTTGTCGTTCCATATGTTTAATTTCTTTCTAAAGAATTTACATTGATTTTTACTTATAACAAATAAAAAATAAAATAAAATAATATAAACTGTAAATTATAATAAAATTAGAATACTAATGTGCCATTTAGATATTGTGTAATAATAAAAACAATAAAATATACTATGTAAAATATACTTTTGCAAATTACTGCTAAGCTGTGCACTTTGAAAGTCTGCCGCCAATTTTTCTATTTCCTCCCAATCCATGATAATGGTCTTTTTGTTAATAATAATCTTCTATTGTTTATATTCTTCGAAATTATTAAAATACTTTCTTCTTACACTTTTATTACACATACGAAATACACTTAACTTAGCAATCACACGAAGTTGTTAACATATGCATACGAATAAGGTTATGTCTGAATCTAGTCATGGTCAGCGCATGCTTCCATCGAAGGCGCCAAATTTAAAAATTACAAAATTTACATAGACTAATTTTTATTTCTTTTTATAACACATATATGTATATTTTTATATCAAAATAAAGAATGAAAAAAATGAAATATCATTCATTTAAAATAAATACAATGCAAGATTTAAACCAATTCATGATCTTTTTCTTTAAATTAGATTATGCAAAACCGCACTTCATGTGCGCGTTATGCATTTATATAAAAGAAGATATATAACAAACATTATAAATACATCAAAATAATAAATTTTGTAAAACTTTATACAAATATATATGATATATAAAAAAGGATGGATTGTCTAGGTTAAGAAACTAAATATATTCTTCCACTTATGCTTATGTTTATTTATTAATTGTTGCGACGGAAGTCATCAAACTTGAAAATTTAATAAAAATATTCACAGTGAGCATTCTTTCTCTCTTACGTTCTGACCCTTTCTCTCTCTCTCACATTCGTTTCTGTATGCGCGTACAAATGTACGTACGCAACATTATTGCGCGTGTATATGAGCCAATTTTTTTTTATCCAACATTGAAGTTGTGTCCAACGGATCAGGACAAGTTTTTAATTTGTTGTTGTTGTTGTTGTTGTTGCCTGGCTATGCTGTATGAATGGTGTATGATTTATATGTACATTCAATTATTAATAATTATTATTAATAACAACAATAATTAATACGAATAGAAAATCATGTTTCATTCGAATGACTTGGATTTTTTTTTTGTTTACTTGCAATTATTTTACCTTTTTTTAGTTTTACGATTTTTTTTGTTTATACCATTTTTAATTGTTTTATTTTACTTTTACTTTTATTTTAATTTTTTTTCTTTTAAAGTTCAATGAAGAACATTTAACTTCATTAATTTTACTCATCTTTCGTCCTTACATGTGAAGTTATGATTGGTAATGTTCAGTGCAACATGCAGGTTCGGATAAGTGAGGCCTTCAGTTTTTCGACGACTCGCTGTTTTATTTAACGGGATTCGACTAATGCCAGCCACTATAGCAAGCATTAGATCTCTCAGTTAATTATATTTTCTTATCAATTTCAAAGTTGTTCTCAATGATAATACGCTTTTTATAGCTGCAGTCTTAACAACAGCCGTCACCCTGGCACTGAAGTATACCGATGACACAATAATCCCAATAACAGCGGATACTTATTAAGAATCAGCTGCTTAAACGTTCACATTACCGATTCAGTCGAGTATGACGACCATGTCATCTCCACGTACCGTTCTTTGAGAATGAGGTGCATGTAAAGGTGCCGGTAATCTACGCCATGGTTTACGAGCTGCTCTTCGTAACTCCACCGATGACAAAGTTCTTCTAATTCGTCTATAAACAATAATTCTATCTATTAGTGTCTGTAAACATGGAATAAAATTGTAACTTAAATAAATTTGTATAATTATATTTTGATATTCTTATTACTAACTTTGTCTGGTCTGAAGCACGGAAATAAACATCATCTGGTGCATCCATCCAGGAAATGACTTGTTTGCGAGCATTACTTCTAGATATTGGTGGACCAAGTGATAAAGAATTCGGAGGTACAGGTCTTCCATTAAGCGGCGGTGCTAATGGAAGAACTGCAGGAGCAGTATGTTCCAAAGTATGTTTTGGATGTAACTGTTGAGAATGATGAGCCCTTTTGGGAGGTGTTGGACCACTGGAGAGCCCTGGGTTTAGGGAAATACCTGTAAAATAATAACACAAGATATCTTTTTAAACTGTTAGTCAGTTGTAAAGTTTCTTTTTAAACTCGTTCATGTTTTTAATCCATGTACGCAAGAGCATCGCTAAAACATACTGTTGGAATAAATATATACCTCTAATAAATTAATCAACAACAAAAAATTGTAAATCTTAAAAACTGTGTTGTATACTGTTTAAAGTCTAACAAATCTCTTCTTTTCTTTTAAATTTAAACTTCATGTGTGTTAAAGTTAAAATAAATTAGTTTGATAATACTTGTTTTTTTTTGAATATAATCGGTGATAATTCATAAAGACATATAAAATCTTCAAATGTCATGTGAACAGTCCAACATTCATGTTCATTTTTGCTTTCTCTGTTCGTTAAATTTGTATTTTACCTTCGTCCCAATCCACATCAGAGTAGTAGCCAGTAAACAGAGACAACATTCAATACTAGGGAATAGGCTTTAACCATAAAGAAAAAATTCTAATATCACTAAGTATTACTATAACTTACCATCCGAACCATTGATTTCATCAAATGGAGGCCTTGTGCGTTTCAATATAGTTTGTTGAGCTTGCATAGCAGGCTGTACTTGAGGAGGAGTTAATGTAAGTCTGTCTACTTCTGGTTTATTTGGTACTCTTTCATATAAAAGACTACCATCTGCAAGATAAGAAATAAATAAATAGCTTAATGAAAAATTGTTAATAATATTAAAAAATGATATAAATAAAATATATAAACATACCAGGTGCTTTAGGAGGACGAGGAAACGAAACACGATCTGGTTGTTTACGTTGTGCTGGTGCCGTAAGTGTTAACCAATCCCAATCGCCTGGTTGTCTTGGAGAAGGATGATCACCTAAACGCGTGGCTATATCAGTAACACGTGGACGAGGTCTGGGTCGAGATGCACGCGCTAACATGCGCAATTCAGAAGGAGATTTTGAAGTTAATTGAGGGGATGAACAATAGTGCCGTAATGGAGCCGGATTCACTGGTTGATGAGGTGCTCTGGCAGCGTGACGCGTACGCAACTGCGCAGCGCAAAGTCGACGAGCAGCTCGCGCTAATGCCGGTGTACGTAAGTAAAATGCTGAACGAGTTTTCATAACAGGCCGTGGTGAACCACTGCCACCACCCCCACTTGCTCCGCTTCTTAAATCAACACCATGAGCACTGGCATAATGTCGGCTTAGGTGAGCCTTCAGTTTAAATTCTTTACCACAAGAAGGAATGCTGCAACGATGCGGTCTATGAGCACCACCAATTCCTTTACTTTCTTCGTCAGATCCAGCACCACCTCTTTTTCGTTCTAAATCTACATCATCCATACGAGATGGAGTCTAGAATGAATATTTCATTAAATATCTTTAATATACTTAATTACATAAAATATTTTTAATAAAACAATAATATACATATATATATACCTTTAGTCCACCATATTTTTTCCAATACATCCAGCACGAATGGCATACACGACACTGCATGTGTGATGGGCCCCAAGCATACCATTGCGAACTTTGCATGCCTTGACAACTTTCACATGGTTTTCCACCAACACCAACCATAAGCATACCAGTATTATCAGTTGCCATATTGCCGTTACTATTGCCATTTAATATATTAGTTGGTTTTCCATTAGAATTATTAGCATTTCCCAAAGGAACAATCGTAGTTCCAGATGCCGTAGACGAAGGTACTGGTGTTTTATTATAATTTGGTATATAAACTTGTTTTAATTTACTTTCTGCTTCTACAGCCTTTACCCTTTTCTGTTGTACATAACGATCGGTCGTTTTCCACATATAATAATATTCAATTACATTTTTCAATGTTTTCCAAGGTAACTGAGAAATATTAAATTATATATTGTGTTAAAAATATATTTGAAATAAGAGATATTATTATACAACATGAGGCAAAAGTCGCACATCAACGCATATTACAAATTATTCAATAATCAAATTTCAAAGTATTTATAAATAACAGTTAACGATTTGAGAACACCGTATCTAAGATGTAAACAACTTGTAAATATATAAATGTAAATAAATAATGCGGTTTTAATGATAGAATTGTTTTTATACTTAATACATTATATGAAACATTGATTGATTACTAAATTCTATGATTAGGTACAACAATAGGGTACACTTCAATGATGCGCGACTTTAACCTCATCCTTCTGTATATTAAATTAAATATTAGTATGCTTACAAAGTCTTGACGTATATCAGAGAAATCCTTTCCATATTTATCAAGAGCTTCTTCAAACAAATTTGCTTCTGAAGCACTCCATTCCTCCATTTCATCTCTGCATAATACCGGACCGGTACTAGGCACTAATGATGACATTGCTTCAGCTACATTATACTTGTGTCGATGTAAAGTATCCATTGCATGAAACTAAAATGATACGATTTAGATATATATCCGATAGTTTGAATATTATCATTATTATTATTATTATTATTATTATTATTATTATTATTATTATTATTATTATTATTATTATTATTACATACAAATGTTACTTACTAGAGTAATATCTCTGGATGCAGCAGCTGCGGACATATGTAAAGAGGGTTGTTTGACTGATGAAGAGCAATCAAGAGCTCTAGCAAAAGTACCAACAGATCGACTAACAACAAGAAATTGATCAATTTGACGATCTGTCAATGAATGACGTGGCGTCCAGACTAATGTCTCTAATTCTTGTAATCTGCGAGGATCTGCTTCTCTTTCAGTAGGTGTTAAAGGTGCCGGTGCTATTCCATCGGCTTGATATCTACTTCCTACTCTAATTTCACCTATAACATTTTAATATGATAAATGAATAAATACAGTAAACATTTAAAAAAAAAAAAAAAACAAATGATCAATTTAATATTATCATTAAAATAATAACCTTTATCTGCTAATAAAGTACGTTGAGCTGGATCAAAAACTAAGCAGTAAAAGAAGGAATCTTCTTTATTTAGATAACTTAATAACGATTCTGTTTCATTCAATAAAGTCACACAGCATTTGCCTCTTATATGTGTGGCAGGCATTGTTTCCACTTGTCGAGATAAAAAAAGTTCTCTATGCTTCATTTGATGACGTTGTTTAGTACTTAGTTCCATTACTCCTCCAGGTCCTACTACAGTTTCTTCCATGCCTGTATTTAAAAAGAAAGAAATATACTATTGCAATTGTATATATTATGATAAATAAACTAATATTACGAAAAGCTTAAATGATATTTTGCTTAAAAATAAATAAATAAATAAATAAAAAAAGAAAGAAAGAAATGAAAAAAAAAAAAAACATAATAAAATTCAGTAAAATGTATATTTTTCATTAGAATATATCTTTCAATGTAAATAAAAAAAAAAAAATTTGTAACTATATTTAATACTTGCTCATTGTAACATAAAATGCCTTTTTTTCTTTTTTTATTATCAACAATGAATATTTTCCATACGATTAAATCAAATGTAAATGAAACGCAGGGATATGGCAGAATCAATCAAAATGCGCAGTATAAATAAATGAAACCAAAAGATACTTAGCAAGAGCGGACAACAAAAAAAGGTGCAAAAATAATTGTAAAAGTCGATAATAACATTCATAGCATAAAAATAAAAGTATTCTTTTTTTTTTTTTTAATTTTTTTTGTTTTTTGTTTTTTAATAGAACAAAATATGTAGAGAAGCCTCAGATTACTAAAGAATCATCATTCTATACGGCGGGATTTGTTCGTGAATTGATGACGATGAAGATGATGATGATGATGATAATGATGCTGACAAGAATGATAAATCAAAATGAAGCTAAACATATCATCAAGAAATCGAAATGTTTCATGAATAAATTTCAAATATGTATATTTATTATACTAGACGTAATATATTAAATATATATATAACATATATTTAATATATAACAAAATATTATATCATATATTAGTTAGCAAATATATGATATTATATTAAAAATTGAATGCAATATGAAAGTATTTGCATGATGAATAGAAGATGTACGGGTTTTTCTATAAATATTACATTTATAGATGAGTTACCGAAAACTTCTTACGTAAAAACTACGAACGAGAAGCTCCGATTAACCCAAATTGTTGTCTCTTTGGCCTTACAGTGAATTTTTCAGCTTTTTCTTACAGCAAACACCAAGATTACAAAGAATTTTAAAATCCCGCCGTTGAATTTGTAGCCTTACATCATCACTGGCTTCTATATACAACTAATGAAATAATTAAGGAGCACAATCGTGACCCTTACCGATGAATCTACAACTACTTATTTTATTTCCTTATATATACATATATATTAATTTCAAAATTATATCATTCAATAATATTCATACTCTAATAACATTTGTTAATTAAAATTCTAGTAACAAGAACAAAACATTGAAAATATTCTATATCGTTATCTAAAAACAAAATACTAGAATACTAAAACAATAAAGTTTTTTCTAATATAAAAAATTATTAAATAAGTCTATACAATATATTATTAATTTCTAATCTTAAAGATATCAAAATCTTGATATTAGATATATATTTTTATTAGATTCATCTGTAGTGATCACTTTCTAATCGACTGCTCACTCACCATGGGGCTCTTGGGCCTCCGATAGCGGGGCCTTCAGCCAGCCCCCTTTCCCGCCCCCTTTGTTCATCACTTTTGGGCCAATCCCATCTTTATTAGTGATTTCCTTAGTAGAATCTGGATTCTCCAGTTTCGTACTCTGTGTGCTTGCAGGAGATTCTGACCTTTGCTGCTCCGCACTTGCCACTGGAATTTTCATTACAAAACCCAACTCTACTATTTCTGATTATTTATAATTGTATTTTGTTTTTGTTTTTTTTTGTTTTGTTTTTTTCAAAACTAAACTCAATACAAAAATAAAAACAAAAGTCTAGTGTCTACAAACTACATACTATTTAGAAACTTTTTAAACATGAAATAAACTAATAAATTTCTTCTACGTGTTTCTTGTTGCTACGTATAGATAAATATTTATATATATATATATATATATTGATATATATTTATATATATCATTATATATAAATAGAATTTTGATTTAATTAGCCAATTCCCATCCACGTTTCTATTTACTAATTTAATTAACGCTCAAAACTTACTTTTACGAGCTACCAAATAATATCATTTTTAAATAATGGCAATTGTCATTGCCATATATTTATATATAGTACATTTATATTATAACACATACGATAGAAATAAATCTACTTTTCCCCTTTCTTAATTTGCAAACAGTAATAGTAAAAATTCATTGATTAATAACAGACACACGAGAATAGATATAATATATTAGTAACTTACTATACGTATTTCAAATATTTATAACAATCTTTCATTCATTTTTCAAACTGAGAAAAGAAGTAAACATACCAACATACACACAGCAATAATAAAAATGTATATTTGTAGTAAAGATAGTTAGAAATTCATACTGCATACTCTTAGAGTATATATGTATTTGTTTAAAATATGTATATGTATATGTATATATATATATATATATAATATGCATAGATTGTAGATAGGTTTTTTCAGAAAATTTGTACAGCTCGAAATGCGGGGAACGAGAGGTAGAATAGGGAGAGTCTGATTTGAAACAAATACCGGCGGATAGAGATACAATACACAAGTAGAAGCACGTAAGAGTGAAAGAGAGCGGATGCTCACATACACATTCTTACTCGCGCACGACATAAAAGAAGGGAGGATGAGGAGGTGGTGGATGAGGAGGAAGAGGAAGAGGATGAGGGGGTGGAGATGGAGGTAGAGATGGGGTTGAGGTGGTGGAGAAGGTGGATGAAGAGGAAGAGGAGGCATGGTGAGAGGCTGAGGAGGGAACAAATGCTTAAAACGAAGATGGCTAGTGGAGGCCCACCACCGCCACCAGTTTTGCCCAGGCTCGCACACTCGCCTGTGTGTGTGTGTGTATAAGTATAAATGTATATATGTGTGTGTGTATACCTTCGTCCTTTTCCATTCGTGATACGTGTATACGTATGTATTGCAGTGTCCAAAGAGAGTAGTGGCGAGTTGGATGTATTTGTAAGTATGTGTATATGTGTACGTGCAAAAGAGAGAGAGAAAGAGAGAAAGAGAAAGAGAAAGAGAGAGAACACACATAACACGTACCCAACCAACCCCTGCGTCAGTCATTCATTTAGTTGAGGCTGGCGGGAGGAAAGGTGGAGGTGGAATGGGGGCCTTGGCGGGTGTACCGCCCCCTCCTCTTTCTCCCCCGTTCCCCCCTTAGCCACCTCCACCTCCTCCTCCCCCAACCTCCGACTGCCACCCCCAGCAGATCGATACAACCCCCATTCCACCCCACTGCCACCCCCCAACTTTACTTATTATACATTCCCACCCTTACCCCCCAGCTGCCCCCTCAATCCCCACGTCTCATTATCTTTGCCACTGCAAAGGAAAAATCGAGAGAGTTTCGGAGACTCACACACTCTCACATACACGTACCCACATGTATATATACATATATATTTATATATATATATAATATGTATATATACATATATATAATATGTATATATATATTTGAATGTATGTATATAGGAAAGAGCGCGCGTAGACGACACATGCATACACGTACCTCTTCCATTTCTATCGTATTCTGTCGCTTTATCATTGACAAATGTATTTACGAGCACGTATGTTTATGTATATTTGCATGTATATAGATATAAGTATATGTATATATATATAGTATCTATGTATTTGTTTAAAGTTTAGTTTTTTAAGCCTTATTTTATATAACATGGTTGCAGTCTTGTCTAGCTTGTTTCTAATCGCTACAGGTGCGCGAGCTAAATTTATATTTTAAATTGAATATTATTTGTATAAAAATAATGAATATGTTTTTATATAAATATGCATATACATTTACCATACGTACTCGTTAATGTACTAATCATACTAATGTATTTTTTCATTTGTTAAAAACGTAGAATCTTAGGTAGATTTAACAACATATATTTTATCCGTCATTACTTTTAAAATATAAAGAATGTTCGAAAGATAAATAAATCCTCCTTCTTCTTCATCTTCTTCCTCCTCATCATAATTATCATTTAACTCTGAACAAATAATCAAAATGTTTTATACATTTTGATTTATATTACTTATTTTTAATCAAATAGAAATTTATAGAAACCCATGGATTTGTACTCACACTGATGTTTATCTGCTAATACTATTAAAGTAGAGGGTAAATCCCTCCGCCTAAAAAAACACATGACTTTTGCTTCAACGTTTCCATTTGGAGTCTGAAAAAAATATAATAATATGTTAATATATGATATATCATAAGAGTGTATTGTTTTATTAAATAATCAAAGTAAATATCAGATAATATTTAAATGACCAACGTACATATGAGATGATGAATTTAAATGAAATTATTGATTAAATTTGATTTTACCTTATTTAACTCTTCTATCCTTCTTATTTGGTAAGGAGAAGTGGAAGATGTTTCAAAATATACATAATCTGAAATAATATCAATACATTTGTTAATTCAATATTAAATATAATTTCATATAATTAGAAATACTTAGATATAATAAAATATATTAATTATAAATAATAGTAAGTAATAATAGAAATATTAATGTTCCTAAATATATACAAAAATATTTTTAACTAGTATAAGTATTGTTACTAATTTTTCAATAAAATCATTTCAAAATTATTTGTTATCTTGAAAGAAACTAAACAACATTTCTATTCTTCTGACCAAACAAACATACAAACAAAAATAGAAAGTTACAATGACCAAAGTTTCCTAGAAATATTCTTTTCATTTTTTTCAATAAAAAGATAAGATAGAAATAAAGAATTGCAATCCTGAAAAATGTCCTACAATGATTCAGACGATTTTGAACTTTGTATCTGTACGCACACATATTAAAATATAAGTAAGAGGACCCTTCTCTCTCTCTCTCTTTCTAATATTTTCCAAAATTCAAATAAACCATTCAATTTGTAGATCTTCTTTTACATATTTATAGACAATTGCTTATTGAAGTTTTAAATTTCTCAAATATTTCCAAGAATTACCAAATATTTTTACTTTCAAAAATCTCCCACTGATTCATCATAAAAATCTTTAAATCTATACTCTCTTTAATTAAACAAAACACAAACTATAATGAAATATTCGTCATATTGATGGTGATGGTCTGAAATAGTTAGAAAAGATTGGCGGGTAAACAGAAAGAGAACGAACCATCACACAATTCCACCATTTCAAATACTCAAAGTCTACCCAACGCGTTTCTCCAAGAAAATAGAAAAGAATTTTTTTATGTAAAAATACTTTACATATATATATACATATATGTATATAATTAAAAATATATATATATATATATATATATATACAAAGAAATGATTTCAATCAACGGGATTCATCGTGCAAGAAATTAGCATGACCCGAAGGAAGGAGCAATAGTGGGTCCGGTATGGGGTGGTAGGGAGATAGGTAAAATATGGGGAGAGAGAGAGAAAGAGAGAGAGCGAGGGGGAGGAGAAAAGGGGGGAATGAGTGGCTGAGTGCGGGGAAGAAGAGGAGGAAAAGGGGGGTTGGAATAGCGGGAGGGTAGCGGGAGGGTAACGGTAGGGAGGAAAAGAGAAAAGCAGACGTAGACGTACAGGACGCTGCACGGTAGCGGGGAAGCGGTAGCAAGAGGGCGAGGAGGAGGAAGAGGCAAAGAGGGAGATGCGGGGGGGGGAGAAAGAGAGAAGAGGGGCTACAGGGGGAGAGAACGGGAGAAGGGGAAGAGGGGGGAAGACGAAGAGAGAAAAGAAGAGGGGTCTCACGCGCGCGGGGAGAAAATGGGGTAAAATGGGGACGCCATAGCGATGCCATTTGCAAACATTAATTTGTCCTAGGTTAATTAAAGCCGCGTTGTTTGGTGCTCCAGCTCTATGGTAGAGTAGAGGTTTCGCGTTAACGTACCTTCCAAATATAATATCTTTTTTCTATTATTTTTTATGAAAGGGGGAGGCAAGAACGAAGGTATATGTTTATTATACTTTCTTTCTATGGTATTTTTTGTTGGGGGGAGTATCTTTGGTTGTAATACTTTACCTCCCACTCGGTACATGTTGGCCGTCATGTTGCTGGCGTCCTGTCCAGCCCCAACAGGAAAATTGGCGTTCTCGTGGTTCTCTCGGTATTCGGCCGGCATCGGCACGAACTCGTCCTTCAATGACGCGAATTTATCGGCCCCCCAGAATCACTTATTTTCCACCAGTCCACGAAAATTTAATCACGTCGCGGTGTCACTTCATCGTGTTTGTTGTCTCTTTCTTCTCTCTCGCGCACGCTACTTATTATTCTTTTTTTCTTATTTTTCTTCTTTCCAGTCTTATGTAGAGGTTCTGTATTTGTCTCTCTCTCTCTCTCTCCCTCTCTCTTTCTCTCTCTCCCTTTGTCCCCCTTCGTCCCTTTTCTTTTTCTGTGTATGTGTCTCTATCTCTATCTTTATCTCTCACATTACACGAGTACCGCGCGCTTCTTTACCAGCAGCTGGCTCACTACAGCACTGCCACTCTCGACGCGACGAGTCCGAAAGCGACCAGGAGACTACTCTACTCTTCCTCCCTTCTCCTCTTCGCCACCTCTTCCCCCACTTCTTCAACCTCTTCTTCTTCCTTCTCTTCTCTTCTCCTCTTGATCTTCTTTTACTCTTGCCCCTTTTCCACCTCCACCTCTAGTAAATGACGATGACGGCGACGACGGCAGCAACGGCGACGACGACGGTGATGAAGATGACGGTGGTGATGATGATGATGACGACGACGACGACGACGCACGCGGAAGAACTGAGCAAAGGAAACAACGCCGCACGCGCGCACAGTTTCAACTCTCTTTACTCTATCTCCCTCCTTTTTCCTTCTTCTTTCAATGTATTACATATATATACATATATATATATATATATATGCGACTTATATATCATATATATATATAATATATACGTGTATCGTCTATATCTAATTTCTTGAATATAACTCGTATCTATTCGATTTGATTTCTCGTATATTTAGTTCGTTCTTCACCTATTTATAACGTAATTACAACGATTTAAATATAAGAACACGAAAGGCGGCGAATATACAACAATATGACGAGGATACGAATATTAGCGAAAAGAGAAAAAAAATAAGTGCGTTACATAGTCAATGTCCGTTACTTCGTTCACAAATGAACAACGCCATTTTCATTCTGCCGCGAGCGCGAGCAGGCTGTACGATCTTTTCTCCCACCACCAGCATCACTGCTACCACCCTTACCAATACTGTAATAAACTATTTTTTTCTACTCGCTAGACTTGAATTCTTTTACTTTATTAATTATTTTACACCACTATACTTTTTAATTTATTCTTATTTAAATAATATTTTTATTTTAATAAAAACAAAAATTAAAGATCGGATGATTGAATCGAAATTCAATCGACACTCGTAAGATGTCCTTTTCGAGATCACAACGACACTATGGCCTAACTAACGTACGCAAACTTAGAACGCTGTTATGAACACTACAAAGCACAATCATTGGTCGAATCATTGCTAGAGAATTTGACGTTTTATAAATTACCACCAACTCAAGCGCCACTTATTTGTTCTTTCGTTTGTTCATTGGTTGTTTTACTTTTGGTAAAAAATTTAAAAACTAGTAACACCATGCCAAAATGTACCAATTAAACGTTCGCTAAATTTAAGCGCGAGATTTAAAATTTATCGATAATTAATCGTTAATTATGCACATAACATTTAATGTATTATCTTCTTTTTTATTGTACATACAATTTAATATAAATTAAATGTAATATATCATAAATTAATCATATATTAATCATAATATAATCATATATTAAATAAAAACTCACTTTTAATTAATTTATGAAATATTTATATTTATGAAATTAGTCTTTCTATACACTTCCTTACGCGCAGTCACATACTTCTTTCTTTCCTCTTCTTAGTATTCTTCTCTTGTATTGTTAAAAAGTATTATGTAAAAAGATAATTAAAATTACTCGCTAAGACGCTAAGCTTATACGAGATTGCCTTCTTCTTTTTTCTTTTCTTTTCTTTCTTTCTTTTTTGTTTTAATGTGAAAATGTTTGGTAATGCACCTGACTAACAATAAATAGAATGACGAACGTGTCGATTTGATGCGAATACGTAACACAGGATTATATTCATATGTACATATACATAATAATAATAATAAAAATAATAATAATAAAAATAATAATAATAATAATAATAATAATAATATTAATAATAATAGCACTAGCAGTTGCAATTGTAATAGTCTAGTAATTTTAGCAATAATAGTAATAGTTGTAGTTGTAGTTATAATAATAATAATAAAATAATAATAATAGTAATGATAGAAATAAGATAAGTGCTTTATAATGTAATAATGAAAATAATAATACACTGTTTCATAAATGTTTATAATTTAATTTCATGAAATTTCGATAGTTACGTAAGGCACACCCTATGGTCTTTTCCTTTTTTTTTTTTTTCTCTATAAAGTGATCTTGTCTTGTCAACGTATAAATAAATGTATACGGTTGTAATACGCGATTATCCTAACTTAATAGATGTATTATATACTATTATTTGTGAGAATTATTAATATGCTAACTATATAGGCAATAATCTGTTCTGTACATAATTCTATCTTTTTTACGATGGATAATCGTACCTTTTAATAATAATAATAATATTAATAAAATAATAATAATAAAATAATAATAAAGGTAATAATAACATTAATAAGAACAACAAAATAATGCATATGCACAAGGTGAGAGCATACTTTTCTTTCTACATGACATGAAAATCATGTACTTTATCATCGAATATAAAAAAAGATGAGCAAGAATAGAATTTTTTTTTTCTTAATATTAAATTGTCTCTATGCTCATATATATCGTATCATTTATACGTCCAAAAGTTCACTTTAAATTCTCTTTAATTTAAAAAAAAAAAAACATTGATGACATCAATTCACATAAAAAATTTCTAAATATTTTTATACATAGAACCAATAGTATCTTTTCTTTTTTAAATTTAATAAAAAATACTACTCGTTATATAATTAGGTAATAATCTAAAATATCTATATGCCAATGTTGACTGCTTATGCATTTGTATATACAAGTATAACATATCCAGATGTTATCCTTCTGGTTGCACATCCCTACTTACTATGATATTATTGTTTATGGATAAAAAAATACTAATATATCGCGTTTTTGTTGCAGGGGCAGTGTTTTCATAGAATTGTCCATTGATAAGGCACCAATTTATGGGATCCTGAGATTCAACCAGCATGTTTTGATAGATTTAGAGGCATATCTAAAGTATAACGAATATACAATTATTTTTTTGTAAATATATGTTCAATTAATAATTAATAAAGAATATTGAAAAACAAATCTACCTGAAGGAGGAGTAAGCGTTTGTTCTCTGTAGTCTTTGTAATGATGTACAGGTGGAGATGAAGGATGAGGTGGTGGTGGGACAAATAATGGCAAAGGGGGTGGATAATGAATTGGTGGCTGATATTGCATCCATAATGGAGCTCTATATGGTCCAGGAGGCAACATTGGAACACCATAGAGCGAATGATGTACAGTTGCATTGGTAGATCCAATATAAGGGTCCATTCGCACTCTTGGATAAGAGTTACTCGATGAGTATTTCACAGGTTGCCTGTCATCTGGTTTCAATAAATTTCTTAAAAATCCTGGCTCAGGATTTGGTTTATCTTCTCCTAAGATACTAGTTATACTGTATGAAGATAACTGCTTTGGAGAAGGCGTAGAAGTACTGGTTATATTAACAGGTTGAGGAGTAGCACGCCTTTTAGATGCTTGATCCTCCAATGAAACTCTTTCCAATTCCCTTAAAATACGCTTGCGAGGTGAAACAACATTAGGATCAAGAAGACGTGCTAATTTCTCAACTATCAAACTTAAAGCTTTCCCAGATGATGTATCGTTCACTTTACGAAATGATTTAATATGAGATACTGAGGATTCAGGAATAAGCATTAAGGATGTAGGATCGTGTGGACGACGACGTTTGCGTGCTACCAAACGTGGATACGCGCATAGGCGGCTTTTTGGATTTCTATGGTAATAAAAATTGAACTCTGTAGATATCCTGCGTCTGGGATTAGCTTGCTTCCAGCAATGGTCTCTTTGCCAAGGGCTCGATTGAATCGAAGAATTATCATCAGAAACTGCAAATATGTAATATTTTTAATTCATTATCATATTTATTTATATTTATATAAAGAAAGATTAAATTTCTTTGAAAGCATACCGCTAAGAGAAGTGCTACTCTCTTGTCTATTGGGTAGAGTGCTTGCCGGTGGCCAGAATGTCTTTTTTGGAACAGGATACCATGTAGTTCGTTCTCCATCTCGACGATGCGACAGCTCCAATATAAACTTTCCATCTTTAAAAAATTTCAACCTTCCTCCAGGTGTTGGTAAAATATTATTATCGGTACGTTGTTCGCTATGCTGTGTTGGTTGGGGACTTGTATTTTTACCATTAGTATTGGCAAGGGTTGGGTGCAATGTTGGAGGATCACGCGAGCACATCTCTGTCGTGCCCCTCACGTGACCTGTGTGAGCATGACATTCTGCTGACTTTTCACGCATGCTGATACTTTACCGGTATCCATTTTCCTCCACTTGAGCTCCCATACCTTAACCTCTGGACAACATTTATTAGAAAATTTTCTAATCTATGCAAGATATTCTCTTCCTTTTCTTAATGGAATTAGTTTTGTGTGCCAGCAGAGATGTAGATCAATCTTGCTAAAGTATTTTGGTCATATCATTTGCCAGAAACATGTTTCTTAAACATGTATTTCAAGGAACATCTGTCAATCAACATCGGTGATATAATACAAATGTTTTTTACAATATGATCATCGAGTGAAATATTATTTTGGAAAATGTGTATTTCTTGTTGAACATTGTCGTAGATCAGATATTATTATTATTACATAAAATGTTCATCGTGGAAGATATATCAATGGTTGACAGGTAGATTTATTTTTTCAGACAAGCAAACTTATGCGTAAGACAGTGCCTGACAAGAAGTGATTATGAAAGCAGCATTCCTCTAGTATTCAATCAATCAGAAATCTATGTGTGTATATGTGTGTGTTGTTGTTTTTTTTTTCTCTTTTCTAATTTGTAGCAAATTGTATAAGGAACATATATCCCATAGAAAAAATCATCAAGATATTATTCAAGTAGGATAATGTTAATCATCGGTAATCCAATAAAGTTTAGTGCTAAATTTGAAAAGGAATCTGGTAATATATAAGTGGCAGCCGCCAGATTCCCACCCACCCACGCACTGCCGCCTTTTCTAACGAGCCCTATTTCCTTTACGATAATAACCACATTGCAACGATATATCCTTAAATTCGAAGATATTAACGATCTTCTTACGATTCTTACTAAAATTAAACTTGGCTTTCTAAACGAGAAATTGTCCTCGACCAAACACGGGAGACACACGGCACTTTATAATGGAAAACACGTTTCGGCCGACACATGTGTTTCACTTCACCCACTTAATATTCACGTTATTCAGTTAATTGGCCTTATTCGTTCGATAATACTTTGTAACGTCCCAACACCATGATTTTTCTCATCATTTTCGATCTTTCAATGTAAAAAAACAAGAAATTCTCGCCTTCGTGTACTCTTCCCATCGACAACACTGTGGCGGTTCGCAATCCGCGCGTTCCTCCGTTTCTTAGTTCAATTCCAACAATCAATCTATGCCAATTTGGATTTATATTATAAAATTATTGCAAACTTATTATATTAAACGAGAATATTCATTTAGTAAATATTTAAAAGTTTATACAAAATATTTAATAATATTATTATATTAATAATCACAATTATTCAATAATCAAATTTTAAAAAATAAACAATATCTATTATAGTATTACATAATCGTAATTAAACCATTTTTAAATTATATTTTTTTTATCGTAATATTTAATTTTATTCTGTTTACATATCGGATATAAACTTAATAAATTATAATATGCAATATTTACCGCGTATTTTTTAACAAATCAAATATGGATTCATCTATGCGCGCACTAGTTCCATTGATAGATCATTAACCAATAAGAACGCGTGAATTTTGCATACTCAAAAAGTGGCGCTAAAATTCATATTCATTTTTTATAGGATAAAAAATTAAATTTTCTTAAAATCGAAATAAGATCATTTATTATTGACATATGTCATCTTGTCATTTATTTTTATGTTATTTAAAGATTTATCAGAAATGCAATTATTGGAAGAATACGAAGAATTAATTGAGCGTGATTCAAATCAAATTTCTCTTTTATGGAAAGCCTTTCAAATATTTTTTTATTTTTTAACTACAATATCAGGATATTGTTCTGCAATTTTATTCTATATATTTTGGGTATATATCTGAATATATTAAATTGTTTTTACATTATTAAAATTGTATATCTCTATTAATCTTATTTGAATTATTTAAAGGAGAATATTTTTGGAGGAAATTGTCCTCTTTGGGCACACACCTACAGCATATCTAATGTAATAGTAATTGATTCTAATAATGATTGCCTAGAACGTGAAACTGTAGTTAAAAACATTGAGCCAGATTATAAAAATTGGTTAAATTATGTTATCGTTAAATATGATTATGAAAAGCATTGCGAATGTTATTATATTATAAGCTTATTTTCTTGTATATTGGGTATTGTAGGGATCGCATTGTTTTCTGTTCATGGTAAAGGTGGATACAGTTACAAAATGTAAGTATTTTTATCTTTATATAGGTGCATCATCTGTACATTTATATTTCTAATTTATTTTATTAATTTTTATTCTTTTCTAATTAGAATTCCTTCTCCATGGAGGCTTATCCCTCCTGCATTGTTTTTTAATTTAATATTTGCAATAGTTACCATTTATGTAGCACATGATTTGGAAATAGGATTTAAAACCTTTAAATTTGACATGTATAAAGTTTTTGTAGAATTAACAAAAAACTCTGAATTAGTATCTGATCAAATGTAAGTGTTGCTTAAGGTAATCTCACACAATGGATTTAAATATAATTAATAAAAACAATATTTTATATATATATAGGATCTGCAATGTTTTACAAAGTTATGTGGAAGTATACAATGTTCATGGATACAATGCATGTAATCTATTTTTTACGATAAAGGTAAGACTTACATTTAAATGAAATATATTAATCGAATATTGAAAATAATATTTATATTAGATTTTGACGTGGACAATGGCATGGAGTTGGATTGCTGGTTTAATTTTATTATTAATACGTATTCTATTAGTTGTAGATTTTAGAATTTTAAAAATTAGAATTTATGAACTTCCAGACAACATAGATACATCATCTTCAGATATTAATAAAGGTAACATAAAAATAGAATCATCTGAAAATGAAAAAAAGAAAAAGGATTGATATGCGTTTATAAAATACATAAATATACTTAAAAAAAATACACTGCATATCCTTTATTTTAAAATATGATATTTTTATATTATTTATGTAATTATGTTTAGAAGATATTTCTGTTACCTTTATGTATCTAGTGTGGATTCAGAATTTTTGTTTACTTATATTCTTATCGCAGTTCTATCAAACTTTGCATAAAAGAGAGTTGCATGTTTATTCATTTTATTGGGAAAATATTATAAATCTTATAAAAAATGTAAAACGTGAGGATTCTTTTAAATATATAAAAAAAAAAAAGGTTTCTCTAACTAAATTTATAAAATATTATTTGTATAAACAGTAAATATAAATTTATACATCAAACATTTACTTTTATATTTTTTTACTTTACTATTATTTTATATAAAGATTTTTTTTATAATACTGAATATTAATACAAACAGTAGTCAACATATATGTAATATCATTTAATATGTTAGCTCGTCGACAAAAATAAAATGAGAAATAAAAAAGAAATATTTATGAAAATATTGTTAATAATTGTTCAGTGAGATTTTTTACAATGTAAAATGTTTTATTATAAGAAATAATTAAAGATAAAAGTAAAATTAATTAGATGAAATGTATTTTGCCTGACTGATATGAACGAGAAGGAGAATATAAAATCGAATATATGATAAAAAATATAAAATTAATCTTCTATAAAAAATGTACTTTTCATTCCTATTATAATTAAAAGTTATCTAACATATTTGAATCCTTTAATTATTTCTCTAGATTGATACCATTTAAATGGTGCTTGTACAGTCTGTTCATTTGACTGTTCCTCACATTGAATTATAGAATCATTTTCATAAGATTTACCAAGTTCACGATATACTTGAACTAAATTTGTACAATTACAATTTATATTAAATTTATTATTATTTATCAACTTGATTCTAAAACTCTGCGATGTTTGTATCGAGGGTATATAATGCGGTTGAGGTAAAAAGAAATTAGATATACTATTGCTATCACTTTTTTGTAACATAACGAAGGTGTTCGTAGGTCCCAAAGGCAAAGTCATAGCATCTTGAAATTCTGTACATTCCAGCATCGATCTAAAACAAAAAATAGAAAAATAAAGATTAAAGTTGTACTTTCTGATAATCAAAACTACACAAATAAAGTAACAGTAAAGTTAATTAAATAATAAAATTTACCTCATCAGATTCAAAAGAGGTTTCTGCGAAGAATGTTCACATTGTAAATGATCCACACTATCAAGCATTATCGATGGTAATTCTAATGTAATTTGCAACTTTGGTGATAATATTGTTGGTCCAATAATGATTATAACTTCTTTAACTTTGATACTCTTAACAAGTAGTTCAGAAGATAAATTATCAGTCACATTAGTTAAAGAATTAGATAAAGTTTTGATGTATGATATATTTCTGTCCATTTTTTTATTTTTTCTTTGTAAGTGTACCAAAGAATCATATGTGAATGGTATTTGTTGTTTTTGATACAATACATATTTCAAAAGTTCTGTAATAAGCTTCGTACATGAATTACTTGTTAGAGGTTCATCTAATAATACGTTGATATCTTTTTCACATTTACGATTGTTTGAAAACATTTTAAATTTATTAACATAACCAAGAAATTCAACCTTTCATAAATATTTATTGTATATTTGGGTTTTTACGTGTAACTGCTTTATATATTTGTATATATAGTAACAAGTATTAACAACTTTAAGAATCAACTTGAGTGTACAAAAATTAAATAACTATCAGTTATTTTTGTTCCTTTATAACCATAAATCAAGAATACTATAGATGTTAAAACTTACATTTATATTATTCAAATGATATGAATAAAAAATAATTATAATTATAAACTATGACAATAATATTAATTAATTTAATTACATAATTATGAGAAGATATTATTAAAAATATCATTAATAATTAAACAATAAATGAATTTAGTTAATTTATTTAAAAATGGAACTTTAAGTGTGACCAACTTGTATTTAATGTTGGTAATACTTAATACTTGTATTTAATGTTGGTAATACTTAAATACTAGTTTATTTTAAAAAATTGATGTTTATAGAAAAGATAGTAGACAAAGGGGATAAGTCTTTTCACTTTTGGCGCGAAGTCATTTTATAATTGTTTCGTTATATTTAAGTAATAATAATAATTATAATAATAATTATTATTATAATAATTACAACATAAATTATATTGAGAACAAAATATCTTATATTTAAATCGAAGGAAAATCGTTAAAATTCGAGTGGTAAATATCAGTACTTGAAGTCGTTAATTTTTGAATAACAATAGAAGGGTTGGATCGTAGTTGAATAGTATTTGTTATATTTGTGATTTAAATTTGAAAATATCGTTATTAAATATTACTTCAATAAATTTCTTTTGTTTTACATGTTTAAAAATTCTCGCAGTGATTCATTGTTTCTACGTGACATTTGTGTTTTAAGATATTTTTCATTGTTCCTGAAATTATAACCTGTAAACAAAGATTTTAAAAAATTAAGATTTGATTAATTATAATATTTCGATTAAATAAGATAATAAGCAAATTATAAAATAATATTGCATGATACAATTTGAATATTTTTAATATATGAATATGTAAAAGTTACATTTACAGTTTCTTTCTATTTTTTATTTCAGTAACATGGAAGATTCAAACGGAGGGCATTTAAGTCATTTAGTAGTCGACAGCAATGAATGTTTGGAATTTAAATTAATACGTAATGTTGATGATTTGGAAGATGATAAAACTTCATTTAAACCAGAAATGTCTCACCAAGTATTCGGAGACAGGTTTATATATATATATATATCTATATATTTATATACTTATATCTACCTTATTGTCTTATAACACAAACTATTTTCAAAATAATTACATTTAAAATTATAATGATAAAATTATATTTGTTTTCTTTAATAGCGAGACGATATTTGGTTATCAAGACTTAAAAGTGAAACTTTATTACTCAGCTGGTTCGTTAGAAACTTATTTAGGCATGACGTATTCGGAAAAAGTAAATAAACTTACTTATGACGTCGAAGCTGATGAAGTATTGCCAAAAATTGCGTGTAAACTAGCACCTAAAATTCATAGTAATTTAGATACCTTTGTTGAATCTCTTAAAAAGGATAAAACATTTAGACCATACGGAGAATTAATTTATTCCTTTTCGGTAAATGGTAATTGTCGTTCAACTTTTCTTTTCTTTTCAATTTCGCATTACTTTAAAACATATTTTCATTTGTTGTTTTATTTTTTTATTGCACTTTAATATATTATTGTTAAATGTGAAAATATTTGATTATATATGTATTTTATTTTGAATTTTAGATAGAGGTAATGCAAGACAATTCGAAATTTATAAAGCGGATATGTCGTGTAAAGGTTTTAAAGAATATCACGAACGTCTACAAACATTTGTTTTGTGGTATATTGATGCTGCTAATTTTATAGATATTGATGATGATCAATGGGATTATTTTAATATGTAAGCATTCATTCAATATATTATTAAAGACAATAATTTATTTAATGAACTAAAAAATAATTAATTGTGATATATAAAATAGGTTTGAAAAATATAAAACAGTATCTGGAAATACTCAATATGGAACAATTGGTTTTGCTACTGTTTATCAATATTATGCATATCCAAATCATACTAGACCACGTATTGCACAGGTATTAATTTTACCTTTGTTCCAAAATTTGGGTCTTGGTACTCATTTACTACGTGGTATTTATACTCAATATATTTCTAAAAGTAACGTCAAAGATATAACAGGTATTTTAATTTATATAATTAAATTCTTAATTTAATTGAATTATTTAATTAATAATAGTTTAATAATTCCTTATCTTTTTATCTTTTTTTTTTTTTTTTTTTTTAGTGGAAGATCCTTCTATTGATTTTCAACGAATAAGGGATTATGTAGACGCAATTAATTGTCATAAATTACCTAGTTTTTCACGAAAAAATTTACTTCAAGGTTTTAGCAAGAATATGGTTACTGAAGCTAGAGAACAATATAAGATTAATAAGGTATATTATAAAATAATTCTTATTATCATATCTTCTTTTATATATTGTTAATAAATGATATTTTTTATTTTCAGAAACAAACACGCAGAGTTTACGAGATATTACGTTTATTAATAACAGATACTTCCAATGAACAAGAATATCGTGATTATAGATTAATTGTGAAAAAAAGACTGAATGTTCCCTACAAACGCGAACAAAATGATGTTAAAAAATTAGAGTTAGCTTTGAAAAGTTTAAACAAACGTTCCAATATTGCATTACCTCCGACGGAACAACGTATAAAAATACTCGATAAATTGTATGGCATTTTAGAGGAAGATTATAAAAAGGTCGTTAAACGTTTGGAAGAAGAAGCTGGATTAAGGATATGATTAAAATACTGTTTCGTATTATATAAGAACATTTTTTACAACGTTACAAAATAGATATTCTTGGAAAATAATGTCTATTTACAAAATACGATGCGTGTTGTGTGTGTGTGTGTGTGCGCGCGCATTTTCTTTTTTTTATACATATATACATATTTATCTAACATTTATTTTTTTTTTTTTTTTTCAAAAGAATCTTCTTTTTTTTTTTTTAAATCTAACATATTATTCTGAGAATTCTTGTTATTCATTTGTTTATGTAATTATAATTTTTTGCTTTTTTTTTTTTTATTTCAAAATGTTTTATCAAAATTATTAATTAAAAATTATTATTTTTGCATAAGCAGCACACATGTATTATTAGTTACTGTAAGCTGAGGACAAAATATAAGAATCAAAAAAAAAAAATTGTTATTTTAAAAGAAAGTAATTTTTGTCAATTCCATATGTCAAAATTTAACTTGATTTTATTTATTTATCTATAAACATTCCATCTCCACGTACATGATGAAAAATCAGTAGTGGGGGATTGTGATTAGAAGTTTCTTCTTTCTACTACGAATTTCTGGGGGCGCCACCATATATCGTCTAGCGTACCGACGATATACACTAGCGCCTTTTCTCCCTATACGGGAACTATATCAATTAAGTCCGAAGTTGAACGTAACGGTCGAGAATATAATGTAACTATAATTACGTTGCGAGTCATATCAGGGATTACTTTGAATCGATTTTGATGATCGAGATTTTATTGGAAAATTAAAGGTTCGATAGTTTTATTTTATTATTTGAATTTTTAAACAAACATTAATTTATGTTATAACAATTGTTTCGTAAAGTACAATTTCTTATGCATTATAGTAATTTCAATTTCTTATCATTTATTTCTTGTAGATTTGTTGATCACACACACTACTGTATATATAAATATATGTAAAGAGAAAATATCCTCTTTAATTAAAGTTAAACGCGTTTTCGATACTCTTTATACTTACTATAAATTAAAATTATAATAAGAAATTAGATAGACTGAACAGAGGAGAGGTGAAAATTAACTTTTATTGCTGTTTCTCTGTTTTTTCAGGTAAGACCATTATACAACGGTAAACATAATGTAAATAGTATAAATAAAATTTATAACTCTGTTTTTCAGTGAAACAATTATCAGTTAATTTCATAACCTCCAAAAAAAGAAATAAGTTTATTTTCTTAATTAACCTTATATATATATATATTCTCGAAGAGGGTCTTATCACAAAATAAATAATACTTTTCTTATTGTAAAATGTCGAAAATTCCAATTAAGGTAAGAATTTATTAAATGACTTATTATTATTTTTTTTCATCCATTTTGTTCTATTTTTCTTTTTCTGTTTTCATAATTATACATATTATTTCTTTTTTTTTTTTTATTAAGTATATTATTTTGTATTTTTACAGGTAGGTATTATTGGAGGATCAGGACTCAGTGATCCAAAGAAACAAATATTTAGTTACAAATCTGAAACTACACGTGAAGATGCAATTAATGAATTTGGAATACCATCGAGTAATCTTTATCATGGAACTATTTCTGGAGTAAACGTGATATTATTGTCAAGGTAAATTTATCTTCACATTTTTAATTATTATATAATATTATAAACAAATTGAATTTGTTAATATAGGCATGGACCGGGTCATTCTATAACTCCGACTAATATTAATTATCGTGCAAATATTCAAGCTTTAAAACTTGCTGGATGTACACACATTCTTGCATCGACTGCTTGCGGTTCATTAACGGAATCAATTGGTAGAGGACAATTAGTTGTACCTGATAGTTTTGTGGATAGAACGACTAAGCGAGAGGGTACTTTCTTTGATGGTACTTCTAATAAATATCCAGGTGTGCTATGTGATTATTTTATATTCAAAGATTTAGTTATATATAATTTTGAATTATTTTTTATTAACATATAAAACTTGCAGGTGTTTGTCATGTACCAATGGAACCAGCATTTGATCCGGACGTTTCCACGATTTTATTACAGGCTGGGAATGATCTTGGCTTTGATGTAAGAAACGGTGCAACGGTAGTTACAATAGAAGGTCCACGTTTTTCTTCCAAAGCTGAAAGTAATGCATTCCGTCTTTGGGGTGGACATTTAATTAACATGACTACTTATCCGGAAGTATGTTTGATTCTAAATTCACTTGCTCACATTCTTCTCTTAATTAAGTATTTATTTATTTATTTTTTTTTTTATTAACTTAGGTCTGTCTAGCAAAAGAAGCAGGATTATTATATGGAGCTATAGCAATGGCAACTGATTATGATAGTTGGAAAGAATGTGAGAAATGTGTACATGCAGCTGATGTTTTAGCATTATTCAAACAAAATGTTAATAGAATAACAGATCTGCTTATACGAGCTGTTGAATTAATATCTGAAGAAAATTGGGATGAAAATATTAATAATTTGAAGGTAAAATATTATTTTGAAAAGATGTTGAATCAAACCGAATGGACTCGAATTAAATACACGATTTGTTCTAATAATAAAATTCATTCATTTCAGGAATTGATTAAAAGTAGTAACGTAACGAATAATGTTTGACGATAAGAAAACGTCAATTAATTGTGGATAAAATTTTTGAAAAATAAGTTAAATAAAAGAAGAAGAAGAAGAAGAAGAAGATTGTATATAAAATTTGTTTAAATATGTTGAATTTGTTTGAAATATAATAATAGATTTTCTATTTATTTGTATTTGATCCAATAATCATAGAACACATTCCATTTGTTTGTTTTTAAATCTTCAGTAAATACTCTCTTCTAACGTTTAAAATGAAATTTTCTATTTATTATAATACAACATTTAATTTGATATTATTAATAAACATTAAGTAACTTACTCAAATATATTTATAGCAAGATTTATCTTTTCTCTTTACATTTTAATCTTATTCAAGTATTGTCATTGTTTAAACTAAAACATTGCATTTTGCGTCTCTATACATACACAGAAAGAGAGAGTGGCAAATCTTAATAGTAATATTATTTTTAAATTTATATCAGACGAATAATATTTAAATGAAAATGAAAATTTTCTGTTATAATTTTTTACATTTACATTTTTTACAACTGTTGTCACATATATATAAAATAAATTTGATGTGTAATATAAAATTGTAAAATATGTGTGTTCCTTGTTTTGATCAACCCAGATCATTTCCTAATAAATCAAATATTGTAAACCGAATAATAACATTAGGATGATAATAAATCAAATGTTGAATATATATATATATATATATATATATTTTTTTTTTTTTTTCGCAAAAATATACTAGATATCTATATTCATATATATATATATATATTCCTTCATCTTTAATACATTGCTATATAATATTTTTTTCAAGCTATTTAAGAAGCAATATTTAATACTGTATTGTGTGTTGTTGTTTAAACATATTTATTATTTTATATCTGCATATTTTGTATTGTTCTGGTTTTTTTTTGTTATTTTATTTAAATACGATATTAGAATTTTTTCTAAGTGATAACAGCAAAAATGCCACAGTTGTGTTGCATTATTATACTTACAGTAATATTGTGCAACGTTAATTCTTAATAAATATGTACCAAAACACTTTGTTCTTTTTTTTTTGTTTTTTTTTTTTTTTTTTAAAGCATTTATAATAATTACATACGAACAATATTTGTATATTTTTGATTGTCGTTTCAGACGACGACGAAGACGACGACGACGACGACGACGACAACAACAACAACAAAAATATAAATTTTCAAGTATTGCCCAAAATCCAGGCCTTTTTAATTAAAGCACACAGCTTCTTTTTTTTATTTCTTCATATTATTATTATATGCGTGTACATTTTAATTAACACGCTCATCTGTGTATAATGCATACATATTTAACAATTACATTATTACTATTATTATTATTATTGGCATTTAAAGTGATTATATATATATATATGAAGTATTGATCACTTTAAAAAGTAGAACGAAATAACGCATAAATAATAATATGCATAAATATATTCTAATGCCTACTTTTCCTGAGTGAATTAAGGATCGTGTGTGTGTGTGTCTCGTGTTTGATTCTACAGGCAAAATTGAAAAAAAAAATAAAAAAAAAATAAAAAAAAAAAGGAGAATACAAATAAAAGTGATGCGCAGCAACACACTCATTGTATTATTATAATAAATAATATTATTTTCTGTACCTGTTGTTAATATCGTATAGAAATTGTTATTTATGTATAACATTATGCGTTTCGTCGTTGACAGATAAAAAGAAAAAATCAATCAAATATTATCGCAATACGATGTAACGAATATAATTTGATTAAACGGTCATTTTATTCCATTTACTATTGCAACAAGTTGTGTAAATCCAATCTTTGGCAAAGTAGGAGAGAAAAAAATAAAAATAAAAGAATCTCTATTAAATGACAATTAATATTTCTAAACAATATAGTATTATATATATGTACACACTAACGTTTAACATTTCTTATACAAATTTGTTATATATGCGATAATTTGTTTCAAAGTTCATATTACATAATATGTGCATTTTCAAATCTTTTCGAGTCGCTAGAAAAATAGTGATTTTCTGATGAATAATTATTATACAATTAACATTTTTTGTTGTCTGGAATAGAATTGTTACAATAATTATTAATATTGGTAACCAAGCATAAGAATGCAATTGGCGTTTCTATAAATGCAAACAAAATTAAATTTTATAATATCTTTTAACTAAAGATAAATTAATGTTTTCTTTTTGTATGCATTTATGAATAACAATAATTGCCCGAAGAAAAATAAAATGAGTAATTGAAATATAAAGGGAAGAACCTTTCTTCTTTTTTTTTTTTTTTTTTTAAAGAGTGTGAATTATTACACCTTATTGTCAACCATATCCACATTGATCTTATAATACACGTAAGGAAAATAATCGCTTTGTCCAAATCCTAATCCAGGTATATCCATACTCTACAACAATAATTTACAATAATAATAATAATAATAATCATCATCTATTCAATTTGATATTATAAATAAATACTAGAGTATCCTTACATCTTGATTTTGTCCTGATGCTGTAGCGGAAGAATCCAAATGAGCGTAAAGTTGATTTAAAACGTCGCGCAATCGTTTCATGGATTTTTTATGAGGATGCAATAAAATTGCTTGAAAATTAACAGGTAAACCATACCTAATGGGGGGGAAAAAAACAAAAAAAAAACAATATATACAAATAATTGTTTAAGATGTATTTTTCCTTGAATTAAAATATGTAATTTTACCTAAGAACGGATTCTACGAATACACGTAAAGCTTTAACGTGAATCCAAGCGCAGAAACATTCGCTAAAGTTTACTTTCAACCAACGTACCAACGATCCAAATTGTTTTTTCTTATCAGTTACCAATTTTGTTATTTCGTTTTTACCTGTGTGTTATATATATATATTTGTTACAATAAAACGAAAGATTGTTTATCTTTTTTGTTTTGTAACATTGAAATATACCTGCAGCTAATTCTTCTTCATTATATGTAAAGTCCCGTACGATAAACTTCTTTTCACGTGCATGCAATTTAAATTCTTCAATAACTTTTTTAAACAATGTTATTGTAAACAATCCATATTCAGAATCTTCAACTATAAGTTGTGTACTACGAGGTACAATCATGTTAGTTAATTTTTCATACCCACTGTACCAATCATGATAGTTAGACCTTAAACACGTATTAATTAAACATATATTAAATAAATATGATACATTAGTTTTATGTATATATATATATATAGATATATAGTAAATAAAATAATACATACTTTGGTACGATGACAAGTAACGTTGATAAATATTCGCTGTCTAAAATAAAATGCTCCTTTTTAACTAAATCCGCTAGATTTCTTGTTAACAAACTTCCACTGTACAAGAATTTTCTTTATTATTATTATTATTATTCTTTTCTACATTTTCATTTAGAGTACTTATTATTATTATCGTTATTATTACTATATATAAAGATCTATTTTATAAATTGTAAAAAGAAAAAAACAAAACTATAAAAAATTTACAAATGAATAAAATCAGTGAGAAAAGTAAAAGAAAGCAAGAAAGAAAAGAAAACAAGAAAACTTACGTTTGTTTTTTCTCAAGATTTTGTAAGCTTCCCTTTAAATTATTATAAGTTGTTGATTTAGTTTTAAGATCGGCATCTATTTGACCCACTTGTTTGCTAATTATATCCGCAATATTTCTTAGTGATTGTTTTATCGGATATTTAGCCATATCCCACTGGAATCGAGTTATATACGAAGGTAGATCACCTAACAAATTTTCAATATTAATATAACTAAATCTACAATTAAACATTATTTCTATGACTAATTGTAAGATTGAAAATATTTGTAAATAGAGCTTTATTCAATTTAATATCTAATATCTAATACGTTCATACTAATATTTTATTAATATTAGGTCGAGTCATAAGTAACTTCCGATGTAGCTACGTAGAATCTATTTTTCGTATTTATCTACTATAAATCACTGAAACAAACGGATTTTCGATATCACTGTATAGATGAGGGATTCAGTTAGTCTTCTATCAACTTTTTTATGTAGTCAATGTTACATTTAACAATTTTTCTTAACCATTGAAATGGGATAGTAAAAAGTGCATATTCAACATGTAATGCTTTAAGAATTGAAACAAGGCAATAGCACTAAAGTGGCAACTGAAAAAATATGCAGTGTATACAGTGTAGGACTGATAATTGATAGGGCAGTTAGAAATTGGTTTGTAAAATTCCGTTCTGGAGATACGATCTTAAAAGATGAACCAAGTGTAGGACGTATTTCCGACTTGGATGAACCTTTTAAAGGTAATATTGGAACAAAATCCAATAGATACGTTGAACAATTGCAAAGAGTGCCAAAAAAAAAAAAACTCGATGAAAGGTGTCTTGCACTTATCAGTAGCAGAAACACCATTCTTTGTCTCATAAAAAACGGAAATTATTTATGACTCGACCTAATACTAATCATATTTTTTAAATTCAAT